TATGGGTATAGCTTCATAAAATGTTCTCAGACTGTCATTTGGACCTTAAATTTAACTTGCTAAAATTCATTTCACATTCCATTCTCTTCAAACTTCTGGAATGGAAAGTAAATATCTGATAACGGGAACCTGTGTCTCATCCTGAAGATGAAACAGTGTGTACTGGCTGATGATTTTCCAAGGAGCCATAATTTGTCCAGTGTTCTGAGTTTGCACTGATGCAGAGGAGGTTTTGGTAATTTGGTTTCGTCTACGACATATGATGAGCATACCCAATTTTACAGGTGTCGATGGCAAAGTATGAAAGCTGAGACCCCCCGCCCCACTGCAGTATTCTGGAAGTCATATAATAAGAACTTGCAAAATGACAGCACAAACTCATAACCTATAGTTGTGGCCCATGAGAAAGCTGGAAATTGAAGTTTTCAAAGACTTTATTAAAATAAGTTTCCAAATCCTTGAAATTACATAACTTCTTGAATCTTTTACTTCCTTTGGGGGGAATGTGTGACCAGTGCCTGGTGGAGCCACGTGGAGCCTGAGGCAAAAGGAAATGTCAGTAATACCAGTCGATCCTGTCTTCGCGTACAATGTTGATATCTTGTTATGATGACTTTTTACGGTACTTTTGATTTTCTAAAATATTACCTTAAAATATATATATTTTTTATCTTTTTAAAGCTGTATTGAGGTATGATGGACAAAATTGTAACATACTTAGAGCGAACAATGTGATGGTTTGATATATGTGCATGTTGTGAAGGATTCCCACCATCGGGTTAATTTCCACATCTCTCACCTGACATACTTACCTTTGTTTTTTGGTGAGAACACGTAAGTTCTACTCTCTTAGCAAATTTCAGTGATACAACACAGTATTATCAATATAGTTACCATGTTGTACATTAGATCCTAGACTTTATTCATCTTATTGCTGAACGTTTGTACCTTTTTACCAAAGGAAGTGTGGATTTTGCAGCCAGCATGCAGGCAGGTGTTTGCTGAGTGTGTTTGTGAGGGTTGGGACAGCACCTCATTTTCTATTTAAACTGGCACTGTGAGGACATAGGTGCTGGTGATGTGTGTAGACCCCTACATGTAGCATACAGGTGATCAGCCATACCTCAATCTCCATGCCAAGGTCAAAATGCAGGAAGAAATGGATCCAAAGCCACTTGTTTACCAGAAAGTAGGTGTGGTCTATTTCACCATTGGAATCATATCGAATATGAACTGTGATTTTGCAACTTGGTTGAAAGAGTCACCCGGACAAATTCATATGCTGAGTCAGATACCTTTCAGATGTCACTTCAGACTCTGTCAGTGAGGACCCCTTGGGCTCCACAGGCTTCAGGCAGGTGTGAAATGACAGCATGCACCTCCTGGCCACACCACATGTCTCCACCTCTGCATCTGCTGCCTGGCACTTCCTCCTTGTCCCCTGGTAGATGCCAGAAGTGAGACCTCGCCCCACTGAGAAGCATCAAGAACTGGACTGGTGAGGGACAGCAGCTGGTGGCTTACTCGCTGACCTTTTCCTGCTGGGGTCCCCTGGGTCACACCGCTCTCAGAGGGGCAAGGTCACTGTAAGGTGCAGCTGTCAAGCCAACTTGATGATGAGTCCCCCCTCTCTCCTTCCTCCCTCATTCCAGGCGCCCTCTCTAACAAAGCTGTAGTGCAAATGGCATTTGCCTCAGGCTCTGCGTTCTGGGAAACCAAATGAAGACATATTCTTTGTTATTTTCCTGTAGCTTTTGGTGCAGTGGGACTGTCAGAAAAATTACTTCAAAATTTATAACTTGAAATACCAATCCTGCCTTTTTATGGATACATGGCATGTACTAGATTTTCAGAAAGAACTATCATGGACCCAGTCTTTATTTGGCTCCTTTTAATTGGGAGTTTATTAAATTCTGGATGCTATCTTTTTATTAGTTAACATCACTGGGGAAGGACACCTCCCTTCTGAGAACCGTGTGAGTTGCTTGGCAAGTGTTTAAGGGTTGGGGACAGTCCTCTCTGGCTGCAGTTCTGCCTCGTTCCCTCCGGTATCCTGCCTGGTTCTCTGCAGACTCTGCAGCAGGCATGCCCACCACCAGCTCATGCTGGAGAAGGTTACTTCAGTGTTGCAATCAGAACGTCTTGTGTCGCATCCTTGGAAGGCTATTTAGCATTTCCTAATGGCAAAATGTGGACAATATACAAAGAAGGAGTTTCCAAGAAAATGTGTCTGTGCTCTAATAAGCTGAGTAGTTTTTGTATTTGTGATTCCAAAGGTAAATTGAGTGGAATAAGTTTTCTCACACGAGACCCTCTGTCCCTTGAAGGGGCCTTGGGAATGCTGACAGGGACGCTTTCTTGACATGTTAGAAGAGAGAATGCCATTGTGCCTGAGAATGATGGGCACAGAGCTGGCCTGAGCAGCAGGGATGCTGATTTCAGATGGCTGAAGAAGGAAGGGACTGTTATTCTTCCAGACACTTAGGAAAGCTTGGAAGAAAGTGCTGGGTCTGGAGGGCGACAAGGTGTAGTGGTGGGTCCCAGTCAGGAGTGTTTGATGAATGTGAAGTTGTTAGCATGGGGTTGGAGTTGACCAGGAGAGGACCTGAATGAGAACATCTGTGCCAAGGGCCATGACAAAGGGCTGATGGCAAGAATCATGGGATAAAACAATCATGTGTGATGACCACTGTAGACCCCCCAGAATAGGAAAGCTCTCAGATAGTTCCCCACAGTGCTCAGCCGTCCCCTTAAAAATGCTGCAAGGTCTCAGAGAATTCTGAAATGAGATACTCCTAGTGAATAGTTCTTTTTCATCAGGATCATTTTCTGATCCGAGACATCTTCTCCTTGTGACATCTATCAGTTTCATTTTGCCTCCATCAGATTAGACCTGACACAAAACCCCTGTCTTAGAAATACTGAAAAAATGAACTCCTTTTTTCCCTGTGCACATTTCATGTTGGATTTCCTCGGGTTTCTAAAATGTGATCTTTTATGGAATGAGGTATTCATGACATTTGAAAGGTGTCACTGTTTAAGGTATTTAAAGACAGTGAGGGTAGAGTGTGCTCCTATTTTGCATTTGTATTCCATTTAATTTTGACTTTATTCAACTCTACAACCCTGTCCTTTTATTCTCTGAAATTCACTTCCCCCCCTCCCCGCTGGCCCATCTATGGATTATGTGGGGAAGGATGGAAGGTGTAAACACTGAAGTGTTCCGTTTCCGATAGCTGCCATGTAGCTGGCTGGATCCTCCATAGTGGTGGCCTGATTCCCTTCAGTGCAACTTAACCAGCCTTGCAGTTGAAGAGGGCACTTCAAAATAGGGTGAGAAGAAAGGAGTGTTTTACTTGCAAATCTACTCTATTTAAGAAATGTGTCATTTATTTAAATGAAGATGATGTATACTCCTGGTTGACTGCTGAGGTAACGATGCCATGACATGGGACCTAAATGAAGTTTGTAGAACAGTTGATATTTGGCTAAGAACTGTAGGTGCTCTTCATGGGAACACATGGGCAGATCTAGTGTTCCGAAAATTCAAGACGTTCCAAATTAAATATGAAGACGGGGCCCACATTTATATAACTTTTCCAACTTGTGGCCTTTCCTTCCACCTCCTGCCACAGAGAATTGGTTCATCCTCCCAGAATGGGACTGGATTGGGTGGGCATTTGCACTTCATGGTGACTGGGTTGGGGTGTATGGTGGCTTGGTGACACCGGGACACTTGGCTTTGTCACCTTCTCTCGAGTTATCCTCGGCAAAAAGCAAAAAATGTACACAGGGATGGTCAACTTGGTTAACATGATTCTTTATCATTCACCCTATTTATTTATACGACTCAGAGCCAGAAAGCAAGATTTTTCCAAATGATCCATCTACTGTTATTCAAGAGTTGACTAAGGATCTGGGAATTTCTCATTACAACATTGAACACTAATGGGAGCTGATAATTATTTTTATGATACTGTTTTTAGACTGGAGTCCTGGACACAAATATAAATTTTGAGGACATCTTTACCCCTTAGTGAGAGTCACCTATAGAGGTTGCCTCCTTGCCCAGCACTCTGTCTCTCTTCCCAGGATCTTATTTGAATAGTTATGTAGCCAAGACAATCCCTGCAAGTCTCTAACCTCTGGACACCAAAGTCCTGTCTCTAGTCTTGACTGTGTCACCAACTAGTTCCTGACCTTAGACAAATCAGGCTCCCTTCCTGGTTGCATTTTATTCATTTGAAAGTAAAAGACTTCATAATCTCTTCAATCTTTTTCAACTTGAAGCATATTTTCAATAATGACCAGAAAATTGGATTGACACAATACTTCTCTCTCCATGGACTAGAACCATTCTGAGCATCATGTTATTTAAAGATAGTAGTTGGATAAGCTTTGAGGAAGCGTGCTTGTATGTTGACATGTGTAATGCATTTCACAAGGCTCCCCAGACCTCACAGAGAATCTTGCCCAATGATCCAAGACTGACCATAAAATTTTCATGCTTTTGATCAACCTGGTAAAATGAAAATGCACAACGTAGGCTTGCACAATGACAGACAGATGACTCAACAGTAGGAGAAACTCTGACTACAACCTAATGTTTTTTTAGTCGATCAATTTTTTTTTAATCTCAACATTGTGATTGGAATGAGAACATAACTGTGTAGGGGTCATCATTGACCAAAGTGATAATTCTCATTTTCTCACAGTTGGCTGTTTTCCTCATATTTCAAATGAGGTTTTCCTCCATCAACAATAACTTCCCATCTGGTGTTCCTTGGATGTGGGCGAGGGGGGCAGTCTGTGCAATTTGAATGGATCCTTTCTGGGCTTGACCCTTTCTTGGTCTCATGAGCACCATGTTTTTACCATCTGAGCTCAAGTAACATAGAACATGATATAATGCAACAGATATTTGAAACACTAGAAGTGATAAAAATAATACTGAATATATCTGATAACAATTTCTTTCCCCCTTTTTTTTATGCCTTTAGCGACAAGGTGCTGGGGCAACCAATGGAAAAGACAAGACATCTGGCGAAAATGGTAAGATGACATGAGTTGTCCAGATATTTCCTTGTATCACCTCTGCAACCTCTCGCCCGTGGCAGGTGTGGGTAATGTCTTCCATGCAAACCAGTTTACTATATGTGTTTGTGCTTCGGGGTTAGAGTGGATCTGAGCAATTCACGGTGAGCACCATGGTCTGGTTTTACAAAGAAAACCAAGTTAGTTAAATGTGGTGATAGGAACAGTTTCCTTCCCAAAGGAGGACTCCCATTTTGGGCAACATGATAATTACAATGCAAATATAGTTCTGTGCTTTCTTCATTAAGGTTGGTGAGACTTGTCGGAGTTGTTGTGAGGATAAAATGAGATCAAATGAGATAAGTGCTTTGAAAGCTGTGAAGCGCTCATCTCCTGATGGGAGGCTCTACAGTCTGCTTCAGCCCTCCCTAGGACCCAGAGCACAGTGCGGGCTCCAGGGGGGTCTGGATTGGGGAGCGGAGGCAGCAGGTTGCCAGGGAATGTGAATGTGTGGTAGAGGCCAGAGTGTGTGCATCCTGGGCAGCAGTCTCCACGCTGGCCTTGAGTTGTAGGAGTGAACATCGTATTTGTGGATGAGGCCTGAGGCTTGGAGAGGGGGCGCTGGCTGTGACTGCAAATGGGAAGAGGGTGGACTTGGGAGGAGACCCAGCCGGGTGTGAGCCTGGCCCCCAACTTTAGTGGCTTGAAGGGGCAGACGCATATTAATGAGGACTATGGTATGCTCCTGGTGAAGTTAGATTCTGGATGTTCTTACTTTTTGTTGTTGATTATGAAATTAACTCACCTTTGTGGAAAACTGGTCTTGCTTCGTGCTGGATAGGATTTGTGCCTGTGCCCCCTCCTTCTGTTGTGCGTCATGCCGCTCTCCATACCAGCTGCAAAAAACTCCCTGGGCGCCTTCTGGGTCCTCCACTGGGTCTGCGCTGGGGCCTGAGCAAGACTCAGGTACTGGAATCTTCCTCTGTGCCATACTCTGTGGCCTGCTGACTTACCCAGCTGTTCTGGGCCATCCTTGTAGGCTCCCCAGGGTGAAAGGTCATTATTTGAATGAGTAGAGTGTGTCCATTCGGAGCTGGGGGCCCTTCCTGTCTTCTCTGTGTGAGTCAGAGGTGGGCTGTTGGCACAGAGGTCAAAGAGCAGAGAAGGGTAACATGAGAGTTGCACACAGAGGAGGGCGGAGGGCACCCCAGCAGCTTGCTGGTCTCCCTGGTTCGTGGATTTGTAGCCATGTCTTTCCTAGAGGCCTTCCGCGGGCCCCACAGCCTCAGGATCCCAGGGTTTTATAGTCAAGTCTTTCAGAAACCTGCTGCTGGGACAGTTCTCATGCTTTTGCTCTCCCGGCTTCTTTTCATTCTTAAAAATTCTCGAAGACCCCTAGGATGGGGTCTTGAGGTTGGTTCCCGTATTGGAAATTAAAAGGGAGAAAATTTTAAAAAGGTTTATGAATTAATTCAGTAAAAATAAAGTGATAAACCCATGACAAGTTCATGTAAATAACGTTTTAAATGGAAAAGTAATGACATTTTCCAAAACGGAAAAAACTATTTAGCAAAAGGATAGCAATGTTTTACATGTTTTTGCAAATCTCTTTAATGTCTGGCATTAATAGAAGACAGCGAGCTGCCTCAGCATTCCATCCCGTGGCATCTCATGCCGGGTCGGCTCAGGATAATTCCACTGTGACCTCCTGAGAGAAAGCGATTGGAAAAAGCAAGTCATACCCTAGTACTCTAAAAAAAAATTCTGATCTGAGCGCTTCCTCAGAGGAGGGCTGCACCCCCAGGGCACCTGGTCCACACTCGGAGCATTGCCGTTCCGGTATGACTGCCGTGTCATGCGTGAGGAGTCTGGACTCTGGAGACCAGGCAGAGTCATGGCTCAGAAATGACCAGACCCCTTGCATTCACTGCCTCTGCCCCTCGGCTCTACCCTGGTAGAGCCATCCCATCTCATCGGTTCTCCAAAGCATGTCTGCACCCTCAGTGCTTTGCACAAAGACAAGTATCAGCTGTTGGAGAAGACACGCCTTTCTGCCATTCTGAGGCATGGCATTCTTTCAGCCCAAACCCCATCTCTTCTAGTGAAAACCGAATATGTCTTTTCTGGAGGTACAGAAATCAATGGAAAGAAAATATCAAGATGCCGTGGATAAAGCTTTCCTTTATATAATTCTAGATATTAGAGGATATTCACTTCTGAGTAGAAAAAAGGTTGTTTAGAATTAGAGATTATTCAATACTTGTAGAACAAAGGTGCTGTCTACATTTAAATTATTAACATGTTGCACTTTGGTTTCAGACAAAACTGCTCACATGTGATATATGCACACGACATTTTATTATAATATTGAGTTTGTGCTTTGCCTCTAAAAATGAACAAAGACATAAGTCAGTAACAACCCAGCAATGATTGGAGTAAAGACTTGGTCTAAAAGACGTTTTCTTAAATATCTAAGTCGCTTCAGTCCTTGTTCTTAAATTTGTAATACGAGACTATCATCTGGGAATTTGTTTTAACCTATTATTACATTCCATTGAAATTCAAATTATTTTACTCTGTCATCACAGGTGTCTCGAGAGATCTTTTAGCTGAATGTATATTTCCTGTTAACACAAATGAAGCTGCCCACATGTGTGGAAGGAACAAGGACCCATGGGGGTGGAACTGTGGAGCATAGAACATCAAAATGTCAGGAGAGTTGGATCATAGTCAATTAATCATAAAATGATCATTCCCAAATTTCATTAGTTGTCTACAAGTCAAAGTGTTCTTATTACAATTATTATAAATTTACTCTAGGCCTCCATTTAACACTTAAAGCAATGAAGACCATGGCAGTGAGTTATGAGTGCCTGGAAATTCTAATTCAGATCACAGAAGACACATGTCGGATACACGAAAACTCCAGAGGGATCTACATTGTTGGCTCTGCTGGAATTTTGTTACATTAAAAATTATCTCAAGAGGGCCACTGACAAAGAATCTGGATTCTTGGTATTCCAAGATTATTTTTACTGATGGAGTTGTTGCTGTGGTGTTTACGGATATAAGATAGGATATTTATCCACTACACGTCCAGAATGCCCCTGAAATCTTCCTCAATCTCTGGGATGCCAACCTCTGGATACACAACCCAGTTTTTCATCACATCTGCAGTATGGAGATAGGTTTTTCAGAAATCTTAGGGTTATTATTATTTTTTAATTAAAAAATGAATTCATTAGGCTCTTGTTGGTTCAGAGATTTTTATTCCTATATGAACAAAGTACCTTCATTGTTTGATTAGTTTAGGCCAAGAACTTCATTTGTTACCCTTCTTGAGTGAAATGATAGTTCATAGCTCCAGTTAAGACTCATCTGCTGTGTTAAACTTAAACATGTTTATAAATACAGACACAACTGTCTGACTCTCGATTATTCAGATTATTCACCTCCAATCACCAGTTTGGATGCAAGGAAATGGTTTTTGTTTTTGTTTTTGTTTTTGCAAGACAGTAATTTTCCTCAATGTCTTGATCTGTATCTTGATATTTGTTCTCCAGAGAGACTCCAAGAGTTAAAGGTTTTATCGACATAGAAAGTCGGAAAATACTGGAAGGAGAGTGGCCGCTGGGAGGCCTCCAACATGAAGGAAAGATTTACAAATAATAAACCCCTGGCAGAGCTTACTTTCAGAGCCTGGAGGCTTACCCAAGCTAAATTGAATTTCTAAAACTGGAATGTATTTCTCTTGATTTAGTGAGCTGTGATATATTTGTTTCTGGAAAGCTCTGTCTTTGGGGGTGGAGGGTATGGATGCACCTGATTTAAGAAAAGGATCCCCTCCCATCCAGGCTGTGGGTAAACGTCCAGAAAGAAGGTGCTATTCTGTACCATCTGTGGAGCTCACTGCAGTTGTAATTTCTTTGAGGTGTGAGTGCCTGAGCAAGAATGCAGGTGTGCATTCTTGGGTAGGTGTGGCCCTTCTTTGGAAAAGAGGTGGTGGCTTGAGAAACTTCTAGTAGGTGTGGGGATATGCTAGGACCATATAACGTTCAGTTTGCTTTGATATGATTATATGATTGCTAACAATGAATAAGATCAAACGTTGTCCTGGCTGCTCTCCTCTCCTTGTTTTGAATAAAACCCAGACACATGGAAATTTAAGTTTATCTCTCCTTTGGATTTGAGAAAACACACACGCACATACTGAAATTCGGTTTCTCTGCTATCAAGTAGGTGGAGATATTGAGAAGGATTTGTGTTTACAGACAGACTTAGACACTACCATTAATCTGGGCATGACTGTGCAAATAAGAAATGAAATTCAAATGTTTACCCCCAAAGCAGCCCCCTCTCAGCTCCAGATCACTTAGTAGAGAGCGATATTTTTTCTTTTGGTGTTTTTGGTGTATGATGACCTTTTATACCTGCAAATGGACGTGGGCAGATTTTGCCTAGGACACATCGAAGCTGCCAGTTCTCCTGGTTTGTGGAGGTGTGTGGAGTGAGGCCTCGAGTACAAGGGTGGATGATGAACCGGGAGTAGAATGGGTCCGGGAACAAAGGGGACTGAGCGCTTACTTTCTCCATTGAGAGAGAAGGTCAATCAATCTGGCAGGAGACGCTGCCTGGCTGATCCTGTTTTTGTGCACAGGACGTTTGGATGGAAGGTGAGAGGAAGAAGTGCAATTTCTAGAAAGGCTACAGAGGCGTCACGTCATGCAACCACCGAGGCAGGGAGGTGACCCGGTTCCGCTTCAAATGCGGGGTAGGAGAGACCAGAGTTCAGGGCCGACAGAGCGAAGGTCACAGCCCGCTGGGTGGGTTTGCGACATTCCTGTAGGCCGGCGTGTGCAGGCATCTGGAAGTCAGGATCTGTGAAGCTCTGCTCCGCACGGAGATCTAATACGCCAACTCTGCCTAAATCTCAATGGGAGTTTAGGTGGGAACTTGCCATCCTCTGCTAAACCTCTTTGAAAGGGGGAAAAAAAAGAATTCAGAATGTTGAGCAGCAA